TCCCTACTAGAAGCCAGAAACTTTGTTACAACTTAAGAATACTATAATTAAGGATGTTAAATATACACTCTGCAATTTAAGTATCTTTACATGGTGTTGTATATAGAATCCTAGAATGGTTTGTGTTGGAAGGGACCTTTGGTCATCTAGTCCAACGCCCCTGCAGTGATCAGGGACATCTTCAACTACAGCAGGTTGCTCAGGTTTTGACTCTCTAAAAATGTGCACAGTCAAAAAATGCAGCCATTACATGCACTGCTAGAAATTCATACTCTGGTATGTTAAAGTAACTGGAAAAAAGAAAATAAGGCAGATGACAGGAACAGAGGCTTTCTACACTTTCCATGCAGTAACATCTGCCTTTTTTGAAAATCTTGTAGCAGCAGCTTTAAACAAACATGAAAAGCGATGCCACCTGCAACACCCTACCTGAGAGTCTGTTAAAGGAGAAGAAACCCCCACTGCTGAACTAAGCAAAATAACTTCTATACCTTTGTAAACTCCACAAGGCAGCACCCAATTGTACTGCTGTATTTAAAGTGCACATGAATCGCAAGTGTAATTGAAGTGGGAACATCCAGGAACTTTTAAATTCTGGGCTATCTGTTGCCTTACATAAGATCTGTATTTCAGGAAACCCACAGGCAGTTCCAGGTTACACAGGCTGGTCAAGCGCCACTGACACATTAAATCACCGTTTTACCCTTTGAAGCAATTATATCAGTGTAAGACTGATAAGGCAACTATTCCTACGAAGAACACTCTTCAATATAAATCCATAAATTACTAGCTTTTTAACATGTTAATCACAGAATGCATACCTTGTGTATCCATTTTAATACTGCCTTGGTGAGAAGTCAGTGATCCAATACATCTTGTTTCCTCACATCAGAAACACGGAGGGCAATGCTTTCAGCTCCCTGGCTGTAGGCTGGTCTGTCTTTCTAGTAAAGATACATACTATGAACTACTCATGATTCCATGACTTCCAGTTTTTAGCTTCTAATTTTTACGTGACAGAGAGTGAAAATCCCCTGCCTTTCTCACAAGAGAACGGTGATGCCAGCTCCTCGATGTACAGGGACCAGAGGCTGGAGACTGACAGCGAGGAAATCCACAACATCAAGCCTGAGACCGAGCAAGACTTGCAACGCACCAGGAAAACGTCTATGCTAAAAAAGCGTGAAGTAGCCAAGCTGCTTACCACATCCTGCTGCAGCATCGGCTGCAACGAGAGAAACATCAGCTCCCTGTGCTAAAACGCAGCAGATGCTGATGAGGTTCAATGTCACGGCTTTCATGTATTGTAATCATGACATAAACCACAATTATTTCCATTGTATTCTTTAATTGTACCTTTATTCTTTGCAGTATACAAAGGAGTAAAGGCTGAATGTTAAGCGCTATAGGGCAAACCAGCAAACGGCTACAATGACAGCTCAGGTTGGGTTGTCTGGATGCCACAAAGTATTTAAACTTTTAGTCACGAGTACAAATACTTCTTCCCATCTAACTACTGTTCTAGTTTCAGCTTTGCACATAAAGTGTAATAAAATATCCAATTTATTAGATGCTTGTTCTCTTACTTACAAAAACCCAACAGCAGGTTTCAGCTGTGAAACATGGGTAGCAAAAAGTCAGTCTTCAGAATCATGATAAAGCTGAGGCAGCGCAGATAGCTCTGCACAGCGTGTCATGCTGTGGGGCCCATGAGCCAGACCCCACCAGAGCAGGGGGAAGGGCTGCAGCAGAGGAGACCTGTGATCAGTCAGCACTGGCCCCTAAATGGGGCTGGCGGTAGCCGTGGTTTATTTCCTGTTCCAGCCGCTTCCAGTAACGTCTACCCAAGGTCCTACCTAGGGGACAGTTATTCTGCACTCAGGGAGATCAGAAATACACCCCTGAGCTCAGAGGGCTGTACTGGCCCTCTTACCTATAGGCAGGTATCAGCTGAGAACCCCAATTCAGCTTTTCTGGGGCTAGATTCAAGCACCTTTAAAAGAAGGGCCCAGACATGTCAGATCTAGGTACTCTAAACATGACATAATTTGAAGGTTTCAGCTTTTTTCAAACATTTCACTTGATTTCAAGCACGATGGGAGCTAGTCTTCTCCAAGCAGAACTAACCACCTTCTCTGCACTCAGGGCTTTCCTCGGGGCTCAGGGACAGCCAGCCCCCGACAAGCAAAGCTCCTGACTCCCGCACTCTCCGCTGCCCTCCTGCTGCAGGGCCCGCCCGGGGCACCTCTGGTTTGGAGGCACCCCTCCGTCCCCAGGCAGGGCAAGAGAACTTGCAGCACCGAGCTATTGCGGCTCGGTGGACACAGCATCTGCAATACAGCACGTGCACGGAGACGGGGCCATGGGGCCTGGCACGTGCTTAACTGTCCTCAAACGCCACTCTACAGGGAGGGTTTTAAAATTGCTTTGTTTTACTTTCCAAAAGTCCCTCTCTGGTTTCTACTTGGGGAATCATATAGTGAGGGCAAATTCAGGGAGAAAAAAGTATTACAGGGATAGCCAGTTCTGAAAGCAGCTAGAATCAGGTGCAAAAAGGCATTTCACAGAGAATCACTGCCCAGAGAAAGCTCTGGGAAATAAAATTATTACATTCACCACCAAAAGGCTTACGGTAACCATGTTTCAAAACAGGTGAAAGTTGCCTTGGTCCTTCGCAACCATTTTCAACAACAGAAAGAGGAAGAGTTAGGCTGAATATTCATTTCTCCTACTGTTAAACTCAGCTACCTCCTTATTCAACATAGACAGCATAGACATTTGCAAGAGCAAACAACGAAGTGTTCTTGAACACATACGACGAAAACGTATCACTCGCAGGATCCCACAGGCACCGGCTTCCGATTTGCATGCTCTGCTCATTCAGCTGCCCAATATGCGTCACCACAACAATCTTGTACCTCGGTATCATAAGGTCTTTTACCCGAGCTTTAATAACCTGCAAGAGAAAAACACGTTTAGACCCTAGTGGTGAGCTCTCTTTACAGGGGATGCTCAGTGATTTGTTTTTCTGGGACAGACAAGTGCAAGCATTCCAGTACCGAGCCTTTGCAACAATCCTGATGACAAGCTTTGAACTGCAGCATTTGAAACATCTACTGCAAACTCCCCCAGCCCTGTGGACGGGTGGCATGCACGCTGCTGCGGTCATTTCACGAGAGAACCAACACTTCCATCTGCTAAAAAGAGGCACATCTTCCTGCTGCACTACTGAAATGCAAGCACAGATGTTAAAAAAGGAGTTACTGTACGTGAATACCATATTCTCCTCCGTATGTGTTCATAGTTACCTGCTGAGTAAGGAAAGGAAGAGCAGACAGTACTGCTTTCTTAAAGCGGGTGAGCTCTTCTGGGCCAAATCAGCTGAAAGGCTGAAGGCTTAGGACAGTCTTTTCTCATCAGCATCAGCAGCAAGACTGGATTTAACCGACAAGGAGCTTGCACATATCATGGTGCAGAATTCAGCCACTACTATAACTGGCCTACTTTGGAAAGGTCCGATACATTCTTAAAACTTATTAATGGCATTTCAGGACAGAGCAACCTCAGCGTGGAGTTTTTACTGAACCACGTGCTTGGTCAGAGCTTGAACAAATCTTATCATTAACTTGTATAAGCCTGCACCTGCCTCAGACCAACCCTTGATGCATCTCGACGGCCTCCTCCCGCATTTGTTTTACGCTTGATTTTTCTGTCTGGGCACCTCCCCGCCCTGACAGCCACCTCCCCGACACGCCGTCGAGGACAAAATGGCCACCTCGTGCCTCGAGCGCAGCGGTACCTCAGCGATGTCCTTCACCATGTCCCTGCACCGGGTCGGCTCGTAGGGCTGCTCCCTCAGGTAACTCCCCAACACATCCTTCAAGATAGTCTCCACCGCCGCCACCGGGAATCGCTTGGGGGGCACCTGAGGGGCAGGCGGTGAGGTTAAGCTCGCTTTTCTGAAGGGAAAACCCACCGCGCCGGATTAGCCAAGGAGAAAGTGCCTCGGAGCTCCCCCTCGTCCCGTCCCGAAGCCCCCGGCCCTGAGACCTACCCGAGC